GGAGATACATGTAGTCTTGCTGCTTCCCTCTGTTTTATTATTATAAACAATGTACACCAAATCCCAAAGGAGGCTTGGAGTTGGTTCAGTGTTACATGACAGCAACAACAGCATAAGCAACACAACTTCAACAAATCCACAGGATTGTGTTACCTTTGATTGGCTGCTTTGTTCCAGAGTACGTGAGGAATACAATTCCAGTTTCTTTTCAACCAGTCACATACAAACGCAGGGGACTAAAATTAAAACTAGAGCTGCAATCCAATTCAGATTATAGCCTGTGTTGTTACATGACCTTAAAGCAGATCAATGGCTGTAGTGAAGCTCTACCTCAAACCGCTCTAAAGAGGTATTCTAAGTATTCTGGGTGGTGTTACACACCCACTTCCTGAGTAGAAACTCTTTGAGAAAATAAATTATTCTTTTACCACCTAAACAAAAGAGGTAACAGATATATTAATGTAACAACCTACATTTGCTTAAACACCATACAAAGTACTGAAACAGACCAAATCAAATAAGCACTTATTAGATTACTAACCACAAACTAAGTTATTATTCATAACAGACTATGTTTTTGTTTACAGACTGCCATATAGATTTATCTTCTATCCTGCAAGTTGCAGAAACACTGCCACTTGATTGTCACAGTAGTCACACTTGCAGCCTTTCTATCGAATTGACAAGGACCTCTATTATTCCACTAGACCCTGTGGTTGTAGGATGCAGTGCCCTGTGCTGACAGCTGGCCAGCTATGAGGGGACTATGTTCACAGCCATGGCAGCTAATGCAGGAATGTGTCCATGTGACAGGCTCCAGACCATTTAGTCTAGTTTTTAACAATACCACCAACCTCACCATGCACACATGCCTCTGTTTAAAGTGCTGTGAAGCCAAGTAGCTTGTTAATCATTCAGTGGCAAAATCCAATAGCCACAAAACTTTCTCTGTGAAGGGAAACTGTTAGCCTCGTGCCAGAACTTGACCTCTTATTATTAATCTGTTTTCCTTAAGCCAAACATCTCATACCTGTCATGTTAATATAATAGTCCCATTGCCTATACCTTTACCTATTCATTCAGCTTCTCTCCCTAATCTCCCTGCCCCTGGCTGAGATCATGCCCCCACCACAGTCCACAAGCTAAGCCACTACAATGGGCCAGTGTGCAAGTGCGAGAGACACTGATGTCACATCACAAGCATTCAGATTCACCCTTCATGAAATTAGAACAATATTTGTTTAGTTACAGCCTTGCAGCAGCTCCACGCCACCCTGCTGGGAAGAGAATTTGCGAGATGAAGAAACACAATATACATACAATAATAGACCCACAATGAAAGTATGAGAGCCTGGTTGGAGGTTAGATGGAAACTTTAGATTGAAAATAAAAAGGGATCGTTTTTCAAAGAACTGGATGATAGTTTTTGGGGGGTTGGTAGCTAATAAGAGGCACTAGGAAAGAGGGAACATAGCAACCATGAGATTAGCATTATTCGCATCAGAAAATAAAACACTTGTTGAAACCTCTATTCTATACATTTCCAGAAATGGTCAAACATGATATGTGCCATAATGTGTGACTGCTTGAAGTAGTTTCTGATTCATTACTGACACCTGAAATGGCAGTATTACGTTTTAAAGCAAGTGACATACACCCCAGTCAATTTATCAATCTGGGTTGATCTGTGCTTACAGTAGGTGTGTGGTACAAAAGCTTGGATCACGCACAGACATTTTTTTCCTAATTGCTTTGATGATTTTCTAGCTAGACACTTGCAGCTGTAGCCTGAAATCCAATAAAAAAATGAGGTCTAGGCAAGATCCGACAAAGGAAGCAAAGAGCAAAAAAACAGATCTATGTATCTGTATTCTGAAGAGAAAGACAGACAGGCCAAGCTATAGAGGGCAGGACTAATGCTCGGAGTAGTTTAAAGCCATATGATCTCTAGTGGCTGAAATAATAGACTGATTGTATCTTACCAGTTACCTGAGACGGGAGTTCAGTAAATCAGGAATGTTGCTTTACACCTTTAAAAGTAGGCTATGCTCATGTCAGTCTTTCTATAAACTCAGAGTTACCAAATACTACCATATATTAGAGAGGAGTCTTTAACATGAAAAGAAAAAGAAAAAAAACACACACACAAACACAAAAAACACTTTCCTGAATTGCCATGGTGATCATAATCAGTTGGCAATTTTATTTCACCTTTTTGTCGCCTTGCCTAGGGTTTCCAATGCTAAAGTCCTGTCGCTAATTGTAAAAAAAAAAGAAAAAGTGTTCACTCACCTCAATCCATCTCTGCGCCTCCAAGTAGGCTTCGTCGCAGCTGACAGCGGACTGCTCACGCCACTCCATCACAAACTTATTAACAGAGCTGCTCTGGCGGGCCAAATTGGTTCCAAGTGGCCCGCGTTTAAACGTCCAGTGACATAAACTTGAGCCAGTTGAAACAAGCAGACACAGTGAAAGCACTTAAAACTGGTCAAGCAGTCTAGAAGAGCACAGGTGAACTTGCAGCCACATTCCTCATACATGAAATATGGCTCCTATTGTTCATTTCCACCAGCTCATCAGTGAAAGAATGCAAGGTGTAACAGTAACGCCTTTCCTTTGCATCACCGTGCGGTTGCTGCTTACCTGTTCTTTCATCCGACACACCTGTGGTTTGTTTCTTTTTATGTAGGATTTCAATGCACCGCTCGGTCTCCGCATATGCAGCCAGCGAACGAGCTTTAAAACCAACTCGACCCGGGCTCAGCTCGTCTGGTAGAGGCACCGACAGGAGAGATTCTCTTTTCCATCAAGTTACATGAGGTGGAGGATGTGGCAGGAGGGTTTCCAAAGTGGGGTCAGAGGACCACCCACAGGTCCTTGAGCGGCTTCCAGGTGAACACAAGCTTGAGCATGCCACTCTTTGGAAGATTATTTTAACCCAAGGTTTTCAGTGATGCCCACATACAAACATATTCCCACATTACAGTTCCTTTGGCCAAAATAGTATAAATTTGAAGTCTGTAGACTGCTGAGCACCAAAAAGATAACTGTTAAAAAGTTAGAGTCCCTGGATTAACTCTTCTACCTCCAGGAGTTCGGTTTACTTTAAAAAAAACAAACCTCTTTCCTGCAACGCCACACAGCGGCGGCTAGGGTGCATTGCAGGGCCTGAGAAACAATTGACAGCAGTGGAAAGCAACTATAGCACAATTTTGAGGTAGGCCTATGTCTGCTACTTTACTTCTGCTCCACTACATTCAGAGGGAAATGCATGTTTCCCAACTATATTTATTTGACAATTACAGTGAGTTTGCAGATTCAAACCTCATCTTATAAACTATAATACACTGCTATAGATAACAATTCCCAAAGTATATAGAGTTGTTCAAATTACCTCAACCTAGACAAACCTTAAAATGTTGCGTTATTGGATCAATGATAATAATCACTACTTCAGTACTTTTACTTTTGATACTTTTATTTAATTAAAAAAGGCTACTTCTACTTCTTCCACTACCACTAAGGAGTAGCCTGCAGCACACAGGTGGTTGACTTTGACTTTGACATATCTAAGAAATCATGAGCCATTTGTGTCATATTTTATGAGGTAGCCTACTGTAAATAGACTTAAAACTCACGGTCTATGGTCCTACCAGGCTTAAAACCTCTGTGGGTCACTCAGCTATTAAAGACCATATAGCTAAGCACATATGTTTCAAGGCATGTTGTATAAAGGATAGTGTAACCTAAAGTGCAACTCATTTTACTTTTGCAGTCAGTATTATTAATGAGCATTTTAATATACCATAGCTGGATCACCTTGAGAGAGGGTTACCGCAGTGGTAGTAAAGATTGGTAAACAGGTGGAGGACAAGTCAGTTACCCCTCTAGCATCTCCTCTCCCTTTCAGGTTTCATTAGCTCAAGTACTGGATCCCCTTATCCAACTGCAGACAAAAAGTCTGAGAGAATATTGCCGCTCCCATTTTGAGCTACATCCTCTGGCCTTATTACAGGCTTTTCACAAGAAGAAAACTTCTATTTTCCGCTGTTGACTGAGAAGCATGGCACATATAAAAATGCAAACAAGTATCTATGCACAGAATAATTACACAGGTCTTTACTTTTTGTGACAGTTTCTGTAGCTTATACAATAACAAGAATCTAAACCTTTCAGTTTAAAGCTGCTTTCATATCTGCTCCAAGTGCAGACTTACAGGAATCACAGATTAAGTAGGACGTTCTTCCAACTAGAAACAGTGAAGTTTTATGGATCAAAATTTTGATCACAATGTAAGCTGCAGAAGTTAAGCAGCCTGGTTAAGCCTCTTTAATGGTTTAGGTTCATCTAAGGTGTGGTCTAAATTACATTAACAAGACAAACAAGTCAAGAAAATCTTTAGATGCTGTTTGCTTAATGTTCAGAAAAGGCACAAGTTTGGCAAGTGTTTTAGCAAATGTCATGAGGCCTCCTCTAGGATTAGGTTAAGTCTTTTTTTTTTTTTTTAAATAGTCAGGTGCCTCATCTTGGCTTCAGACAAGGTGTGGAATGTGTTTTTGCACACAATGAAGACTGTGGATTTTGTCTCCCAATACTGATATTAAAAGTACATTAGAAGGATCTTTTAATGGCCAGTATTAACAAGAGGAATGATTACATCAAGCAAATACTGTTTCACTGTACATGTGAGTACCCTTTTAAAACAAGCTTAGGTGTACCTATCATTTATTTTTAAGAATTTTCTTTTCCATTTCATGTAATAAACAGAGTTTTTGCAACTTTTGGATCAGGTTCCTGGTTGTATTCAAATCAATAGCTTTTTGTATGTTTAACAGCTCTCCTATGATTACTTCAAAAGCATTTCATTTGCCATTGCTGAGATACTATACTGGTATCCCATAATGTTTTTTAGATTCTCTTCAGTAGGCCTAGTTGCATACATTTATCAATAATAAGTTTTCACCAACTAAGATTTGAGTTAGAGAAGATCCACGAGCAAAGTCTTTAATAAATTTGCCTTTTATTTGACAGAATTACAAAAATGTAGGCACCTTCCACATGGATGTACAGTCTGCTTTTTTTTGATAAGCTTTTCACAACATCATTATCGCATACAACAGCTTTAGCCCATCTGTTTTTTTCAACGCTATGATTGAAATTAAAGCCTTGCAAAACACGTTTCTTCAGCTGGTTTTGACCATGTGGTCAGATATATGATCAAAAGCAGATACACACAGTATGCATCACTGAACCCAGAGTAAAAAAGAATTTGCGCTCCCTCAGTGACATGGAAAACTTGTTGAACTTCTTTCTTAAATGAAAGCCAAACATGCCATGTCAACAAACTTTAGTGCAGTGCAGTGTGCAGAGATGTTTCAGCATTGGGGAAGTGGAAGATTTTGATCTTAACAAGAAATACTGTTAGTTGCACAGCAGCACTCTAATACTCTTAAAATTTCACCCAACATGTAGCAATTGAAATATGACAAAAATGGACCATTACTTAGATATCATTTCCCTCAACATTACTTATTAAAATATTTTTTGAAAAAAAAAAAAGGATTTCTAATTTTCCAAGCATGTCAGCACTTGAGAATGTTTGGCAGTAATGTTTTCTTTGTTATGTGGGGTCACAAGGAAGTTTCCTCAGTATGACTCTTTAGAGAGGGCAATGATGGTGAATCGAACCTCCTGAGGGTCGCGAGCCATGAAGATCTTACAAACCTCTACAGCATCCTGCAGTGCAAGCAAACACATCAGGAAAATTATGAATTGCAACTCTGCTTTAGAAAATATTTTCATGTCAGTTTGTCCGTTTTATTCTGTGATGTCTTACCTCGAGTATAGTATCTTCTGATGTTTCTCCGTGGACAATAGGGAAAGGCTTCCGGCCATCTAGGTATAAAATAAACAAACAAAAAAAATTGTCATTTAAATCCATCATCACTAAATGTAGAATTAAAGGAATTACCATCAACTGTGTGGCAAATAGTATCAAATGTTTTCTACATGTTTGAACATACTTCAGCAGTGCCTAACTCACCCAGTTCATATAACTTTCCTCCGACATTCACAAAAGCTATAAAATGCAGATTCACTTTCTCATCTAAACTTGGTGCCTATAACAGACAAGAAATAAACAAAGTATTGAGTTAAACATACTCTTTTAGGTTGTGTACTAAACAAAGTTCAACACAAGACTAAAGGTGTTATCTTTGTCAGACACATCCTCAGGCAATGCAGCTCATCTAATACTCAATACAAACCTCAGTCTGTCCCTCCTGTGCACTGGATTCATGTGTAACACGTATACTCTGAAACAGAAAGTAGGAATGAAAATGCAAATGATTTGCAGTGTATCATTGGTGGTCCCTGTTTTGTTTTTTTTGTATTGTACTTCATAGTTATTTAACACATCTCCTACATATTTAAAACATTGTTTTTATTTTTTCTGTTATTATCTAACAAATGACCGCTCCAGAGGGGTTAGATAAAATCGTTACCAGGTAATAAAGATAACATTTCACAACAGGATACTGATATGGTTGTTGTGATGCTGATAAAAGGTCTGGGGCCAAAACGATTTTTCCATCTGTCTCCCAAATGATTAAAAACAAAAAACAAAAAGTAGTGTAGTCCTTTACTCGTGTGTCCATCTCGGACCACTTCATCACCACATCTTTCAGCAAAGATTTTCTTTTCAGTGGTTTCCTACCTCGTCTTTTTCCAGGAAGGTGGCCCTCTCTTCTGGTGTCATTTGAGAGGTTTGTTCAATAAACTTCTTAAGAGGAGAATCCGGCTCTAAGGACAAAGGACAAAATCCATTAAAATCAATAAAAAACTGTCTGCAAGCAAAAACGTGTTTGGATTTAGAGCTGGGTGATATGTCAATACAGTGACTTTCTAAGAGGAGATTATGTATTGTGTTATTATGATGAAAGTAATCTAATCCTAGTATAAAACGATGATAAAAATCATCTGAACTGTTCAAGCTGAGAAAAATTATGAACAATTCAATGCCATTAACGGGTTTGCCGTCATATCAACTCTCAAGTTGTAAACATGGAAAACTATCACATCTCTACCACTGCACATGACGTGAACGGAATAACTACTCACCAAATTCCAGGTGTGCCTTGTTGTTTGCCACTGCGTGAATTAATCCTATTGTTCCACAGGCGTTTCCAATAGTTTGCTTAATGAAGTAGACGTTGGGAGAGACATCCTGACGCTGATTCTTGAGTTTCTCTTCCTCTTCTTGCTTGAATGTCTCATACTGGACAGACGTGGGAGAAAAGAGAAATGTTTGTTGGACATTGTTTCTTATGGCATGGACAGGGGTCTGCACATTTATAGAATTCTTAAGTTGGTTCATGATCATGTGGTTAATACATTTTACACTAAAGATGTTGCAAAAACAAAAAGGTACCTTCTCTGTAACTGGGAACAGAAGCAGCACTGCACACACTGGTCTTGGTACCATGCTCAGAAGCTCTGGATCCAATCCGTATACATCTCCAAATTGCCAGGTTGGCCTCATACCCAAACAATTGACAAACTACACAAAAGCTGAGAGTAAATTTGTATGCACACAAAGACATAAAGCTCACCTGAAAGTATCTGGCAGACAGGTTTAACCCAAATAAAGTTGTATGTAATAGTGCTCTCCTATTTACCATTATAAACAACTTATCATACCTAACCCCAAAATGGCTATTACACACACATACTTAAAAAAAAAGAAAGAAAAGAACGTCATTACTCTCTAATACATGTTCGGCCACTGCATGCCAGCATACCAAACTTCTGTTAAAAATCTTTAAAAATAAATAAATAAATAAAAACGATAACTACTCTTTATATGAAATACTTATTATCATAACAAAGCTAAATTTATGGGTAATTGTTTATTTTACAGGTCTACCATTTCTTAATAATCTCCAAGAACGTTTCCAGTAAATGATGTATGCTGGCACTAATTACAGGAAAATGGGAATTTTCTAGAGTTCCATTAAAACCCAGGCAAATATGAATTAATTATCCATTTATTTTAGGACACTTTATCATCCATGCAAGTTAAATTGCTTGTATGTAGATACATTTCAGATTTTTCATGTTCAGCTGACCTTGAATTTAAATTAATTCATTGGTGTCAATTAAACACTCAATGCTTCCTCATGATTAGTACCAAACTACATAGTTTATGTGAAATAAAGCTTTATCAAATTGTCCAGTGTGTGTCCTCTAGGACGACATTCAACAGGTGAACTGAGAGTCTTACTGTCAAGAGGTGGGGTGGTTTCAAAGGGGACAGCAATTAGTTTGGTTACTGAGGGTCAGAATCTACAGGTAGATCTTACAGAAAATGGCTTGGACAACTGCATAAAATGTAACAATGAAATGTATGAGTTAAACAACCTATAAAATATATTACTAGACATACAATTACAGCATACTACTAGCAATAAAGTATGTTAATGCCTATGTCAACTTCTTTGCAGCCTGACACTTGCATTATGTTTATCAGGCAGTAGTAGGCTACATTATTTAGTAACTTTTACATCTTTAAAAGTAACGTTAACGTTACATTGCATCGCTGCTGGGTAGGCCTTGTGTCGCTTTGCTGCTGATTATTCAGATCATCCATCTGGTGTTAAATTCAGTCAGAAGAATACTCACTTTTGTCATGACCTGAAATGAAAAGACAAATAAAAATATTAATCAAGTTGCTTTTTGGGTCTATCAAACCAGCCACGCCGGCTTCAGCTTTTGTTCTCTCTACTGCTAGCTACAAGTTAGCTAGCCATCACATGCTTGTAAATGAATGACTCCGACGAATATAGTTTGATAATAGATTAGATAATCAGCAATACGCACTTCTGGATTCGACTCCAGAGGCAACCAGCGTGGAGAATCCATTCTGAAGTAACGTCAACCGTTATTTCCCTTTCAACCGAGAGATTAATGTTAAAGTGATTTAACAAAATCTGTTTGACAGCTGGAACTCGCTTCCGCGTCTGGAAGGTGCACCTTTACATTTATGTAATGCGCAGGGGTATTTACTTCTTCATAAACCATAAATACACCACTCCCAGTACCTTACAACATGAACACACAAATTACGTATATTATTTATTTATATTATATTATTTTTAACACTAAATAGTTATTTTGTGGTTCTTTGCCTGCAAAATGGAGGATTTTTTGAATGTACTACTCACCCCATCAGCCCAACAGTGGACCATTCCAGGATCATGGGCGTGTCTCAGAGAGACGTCCCAGCGGTTGTAGTGGTTCAGCTTTCCCGTTAATATGATCTGGCTGATCCAGTGAATATTTCCTTCGTTGTATCAGTGGCGAACGTGTTTCTACTCGCTTTGGGAAATCATTTTCTAATAAACAGATCTCTCAAATCAGGGACAAAGCTCGATTAAACGTGTGTAGCCCTAACCTGTGTCCGGGAGATGGACGCTCTGCTGTTAAGTAGGCTACCTCCCTGAAATACAGATTTCAATTTCATCACAATCACAATGTTAAATATTCTAAATAGAAAGTACAACCGATCTTTATGAAATATAGAAGATGGAAAGGACAATGATAAAACAGAGGAAAAATACAATAAATAAATACCTATAGAAAAAGGCAGATTGAGTTAAAACAATTTAGAGTCTAATTAGACATAGACCTACTCTTTTTTACTTTATGAAATTTTGGAGTTTATAAAATAGGGAAAATAAAGAAGTAAAATAGAGGATTAGTAATTTATGTGATAGAAAGTAATTCCCAGTAAAATGATCAAATTTACTATCAATAGCCAATTGGGACATGTTTGCAAATTATAACATTTTTAACAGAAAGCTTAAAGAGCCCCTCCAACATGATTTACAACATAAAAATAATAAAAAGTAATTTGTATCTGATGTGGTCTTTCTACAAAAAAATTAGGCCTACATCTATTCCTTCTTTCCCATAGAAAAATCAAGACAAACAGCAGAGGCTGAGGAGCTGAAGGTGATCAGTCAGTTAGAGTCAGAGCAGATCAAAAGTGAAACGGGTGTGTGTGTGTGTTGCAGGTTTTGTCTGAGGAGGCTCTGTATTATATGTATATATAGCCTAAACTGAACAAAATTATAAACGCAACACTTTTGTTGTTGTCCCCATTCATCATGAGCTGAACTCAAAGATCTAAGACTTTCTCTGTGTACACAAAAGGCCTATTTCTCTCATGTTCACAAATCTGTCAAAATCTGTTAGTGAGCACTTCTCCTTTGCCGAGATAATCCATCCACCTCCCAGATGTGGCATATGAAGATGCTGATCAGACAGCTTGGGTATTGCACAGGTGTGCCTTAGGCTGGCCACAACAAAAGGCCACTCGAAAACAGCCCTGGAAAAGAGCAGTCGGATTCTCTTATGCTGCGTTCCACGCAGCTGGGAACTCTGATATTTCTCACTTCCAACTAGAAAAAGTACTGCGGACGCCACCTGAAGTCTGAATTGTGAACATGTAGGCTATTTCTGCGTTACAGGCAACTCGGGAACTGGGAAATTTCCGACCTCCAACTAGAAAAACCATCCTGGAACGCCACTTTAAGTCGGATTTCCTACTTGTGAACTCGGAGAAACAACTGTTAGTACCCCGACTTTACGAGTAGCAGCTAAATGACGTCACACAACAATGGCAGCTCCTATGGAAGCACGCATTGTAAAGGCAAAGTAAAGTATTAAATTAAAATAATACATACTAGTATCAAATAGTGAAACTTGTTCTGCATGTAAATTGATGTAGAAATACTTTGTCAATATTATTATGTAGCTGGTCTCTGAAAGTCATCTTCTTTACCCAAAAGTTATTCAGGAAAATGTTTAAAATGTCCAGAAATGTGAAAACATTTGGAAACAGAGCCTACAACGTTTGCTGACTTTTGAGGATTACCAACTGATGTAGTTAGGATACACAGATAAGGAGTAAAGGTGTAGGCCCTATTTATCGCTTCTTTTTTAATAATATGGCCAAACCTTTTAATTGGCCTAATACCAAGTGCACTGCTGAGGGCTTAACAGTGCATACACTTGCCAAAGAAACTTAAGTTTGTCAGGTCAGCTATGTTTATTGTTTACATTTAGTGTCATGCACCACCATGCAACTGAAACGATTTGACTTTGATTTCAACTTGGAATCTTCCCAGTTTGTTCACCGGTCTGAAACGCCGCATAAGCCCCGCGGTCGTCTTTTCTGAAGTCCTTATGAATTCTCCTTCACATCTTTCCTTGACCTCATGACGTTTTCCATCGAGGGCATGAAAAAGAGGAGATTTATTTTGACCTTTCAACCGCAGCCCTAGTCTTGAAGGGCTGCTGTAAGTTGTACAAGCCACCAGATGTCACTGTTTGCTGAGTAAGAGTAGCGAAGACCACGTTTACTTTACTTGGCACTGCTATGGGACCCTTGACCTGAGCAGCAAAGATTATTATGGCATGGATTCAAATGTAGCAGGTGTCATTCTATGAACTCTACTCCAGCATAGATAACAAAATAGGTTTCAAGATTAGTAATTTTGTTTACACCAAATCCCTATCCTACCCATGTTATGTTGTTTTGCCCCGCAACTATCATGTTTGTTTTTGTTAGGTTCAAGAACTGTTAAACAGCAGAACACAGACCAGGAGTAAGGTGGGAATTCACAGTTTAAGTTTATTTCACAATTCCAAAAATCTGCAATAGTGATCACTTGCTTGAAGTATTTCAGAAGAAAAACATGTGATGCTAGCTGGGCAGGTGAGGCACTGAATGAGACTGACAAAGATCTCTTACTTGCATAAGGCACAAGCAAAAGCAGGATCAGAAAACAAGAGCAAATACCACTACCACAGCAGTTTGGCCATCACATGAGTAGCACTTAGGAGGTGAAGAATGAAGTTAAGAGCCGGGGTTTAAATGCTACAGGGCTTGATTGCTGGAATGAAATAGCAGGTGATAAAAAGTAACATGGTGGAGACTTTAATGTACATACTTTGTGGGGAAGCGGTTATACAGATAAAATGATCAAGCACTTGAAGATCTACTAAATGATAATGATAGATTGTTGGTTTTTTTTGAAGGAAATGGTACAAGGATGGACGTAGAAAGAAATACAACCATAAGCATTGTTCTTACACTAGTGAACGCTCATTTAACAAAATCTAGTGAATGGAAAGTATTAAATATTTCCACAGTAGGTAGTGATCATTTCCCATTTTCTGAAAAAGGATAGTAAACCTCGGCAGAATCATGAGTGTTGCGAAGCTATAAAAATCAAAATGAAGCATTGATGAGGGATTTAAATCCAGAGAATTTCATTAATTTTTAAAGAGATCTAAGGCTAGAAAAGTAATTAAATCAACAAATGCATGGAGACAGTTTTGTACTGGAAAGGAGTTTCAATTCAATTAGGTCTGGACAATGTTGACGGAAATGTGTGGATAAAGAATGAACATACAACTTTGAGGGTATTATTATCCCGCTTAGGGCCACTTAAAAACAAAATGCCATGTGCAAAAACATTTCAATAAAATATTAGTAATTCATTTACAGATACAACTATTTTTATATCGCTTTTTTCTATTAAAAGTAATGAGACACTCATAAGAAAAAATCCTAAGAAGTTTTAAAGAGAGACACTTTTTTACTGATTGTCACTCTGAAGAACAGAGAATAGCACTGTATCGTGCTACACTACACTGTTAAACTGAGATCTGTTATTAAATCATGTTATACATGTCGTTCACACGACAGAAAATGACAATTTATATGGATTTATATTTCTGTAGACAGTTTTAGAATTTAAATATTTGGGTTATGGTGTGATGAAAAGAACACATGGAATTCTCATACAAAAGCACCCAGAAACAAAATATAAGAAATATATTAAAACCTTATGAGAAATTGATGCGGTTATGAATGTGGAGCAGATAACAGTCACTGTTAGATATTTACTGGGCATAAATAATCAATGATCAACCATTGATTATGTGTGTAGCATATGGAAAAGCAAGCAAAACTGTTTTACAACAACTCCAATAAATATAAATATTAAAGGTTATTATGAAGGATGGGTTCAGAAGTTCACTCTCGTTGAATCCCTGCACCTGTGGATGTTGAGCAATAAACAAGCAGGTGAAATAGCAAAGAAAGCTCTTAAATTACACAATCATAAAATAATAAGAGTAGCATATCGTAGGGGAGAAGTAAAATCTAAAGCTAAGTGGGACAAATGCAAGGAATACAGCCACGATTCCTTGCATTTGGCATAACACTTGGCAGAAGGAAAGGATTGCAGATCACAATGGGAGACATTACACAACACAGAAATCCATTGTGTCCAAGTGAAGCTGTTTCAAAGAGGATGTTGGGCTTGGAGAGAGGAGATGATACATTTACAGCTTAGACTTAGACATGCAGGTTTTAATTCTAACCTCTATTTAATTGAAAAGAGACCTTCAGAACACTTAAAAGTGGTGTAAGACTGTAGATGATGTTGAACTCACATTATGCAATGTAATAAAAATAATTCAGAAAGAATATATAGCTTAAGAGGCAGGGAAGATATAGGGTTTCAAATGGATCAAGACAAATCAAAAGGAGCTAATGGGATTTTTATTTAAGATAGACAAGATTAGCATTTTTATTTTATTTTTTTCATAATTCAACAATTAGATGATGCAATGTCTTGTGGGCCCCAGCATCTTTAGAAACAAAAATGCAGACAAATTGGCAAAAAAATCAATCAAAAATGAAATTGTATAATATTATACTTCGAAAATCATAGGGGAAAAACATAGTGTGGAGGAAAATACATCAACTGTAACAACAGACTTGCGATAACTCAACAAAAGGAAGACATCTACAATCTATCCAAAATAAAGTAGGAAGGCTATGGAGAGAAAACTGAGAATTATACACAGCAACATTAACATTACACTTTATGTTATGGGAAAACATCCAACAGGTGCGATCAGTGTCATTCAAAAGAGACAAGTGGGCCTATAGTAACATGTAGAAAATCTACAGAAGAAAGACAAAAACTAATCACACAAGCCTGTAGGGTGAGTAGAAGTTTTTTTAGTAGTTTTACCCTGCTGTGTGGTCCCACACTAGATGCAGCTCTTTTCTGCAAAAGGCAATTTATTCCTTCTATTGTTTCATCGTGTTTGCCTGTTTTGTATTGTTGTTTTGTATGACGACCTGCCAGGGACTACAGATGAAAAATAGCCTTTTGGCTAAATCTGGCACATTTACATTGTTGCACTGTCCCTTTTAAATAAATAAATGGAAAGAGTGTGAACACAGTGTTTGTTCATTCTTGGACGTTATTCCATTGGACTAATTGGACTTCTTTTAAAGAAATTGACTTCGAGAAAGATCAAATCCTTGAGGAGGCAGGATTGCAACGTCATGGATGCCAACCATAAACCGTCAACAAAGAAAGAAAAAGAAGATGAGGGAGACACTCCGATACAGTAGATGGCAGTATGCACCTTTTACGATGGTAGTGATTTGCCAGTAAACACAAAGAAGAATTTTAGCGAGAGAGACGATGCCAGCAGCAGAGCGATCACATGGTGGGTTTTAACTTGCATCTCATGCTGCATTAATTTAACGGTGTTTTCAGTAGATTGTAGTTTGACTAGAGACGAATAGGCTGGACTTTCAACGATAGCACTGTAAGTTACACCAAGCAATCAAGCAATATATTAGTTCATTAGCGTTAGCTTAACACAGCAACGTTAAGTTAGCCGTTTCCCTGTTGATGTGGTAACGTTATTACCGTACTTATATCTGAACTGAACCATAACCCTAACCAGTCGTCTCCTGTGATGCTTAATCTGACCCTAACAATAACTCATGCCTAACGTTTGTCCCAGTTTGTGCCTCACGTGTAACTAGCATTAATTAACAGTTAAACACTTGTAAGTTAATAATGTTAAACCTATAACCTAAACCTATGTTACGTTCGGGTCACGGGATGTTTTATAACACTAACCGCTGTTCTGATATTTACAGAATCCCCAAAGAGTCTTCTAACCATCTGGATGAAAAATATCAAATCAATTGCACGATTTTTTGACCCGTTTGCCATTTTTGGACGCAATATGCACAAACCACAGACTGTAGCACAAACCTAAGTCTGAACCCCAACTATAGAGAGGAGCGTTACGGGAAACATCCTTTAAACAGGAGGGAAACGACCACGCCCCCGGCTATTAAAGTGGGAGGGCAAATTGAAAAACGAATGGCACCCACCCACCATGGCTAAAGATGCTGCGTCGCATTTTGCACATCAAACAAAAAAAAAAAAAAACGGTTTTCTTTACTTCCCCAAAGAGCGAAGGGCATACCAAAATTAATCTGTGGCTTCATGTTAGTTAATGATGTTACTCAGTGAATGACATACGGGCTGAGTATGTAAATCAAAAGCGATTCTGAACTGAGCCATAATATGAGCCTCCGAACATTATTTCAGAAAGATTTAACGTTAAAACGACTTTCACTGAAAACATATCTGGAGCATACACCATTAATGTCTAATAACTGATACAGTTAAATGCATCTCTTTAAAGCGTGTTACCACACTAACCTATTTAAAGGTGACATCTGTGATAATTGTACCTTCGTGCTTTGACTGCTTTCCCCCTTGTAATTGTATTATTTTATATTCAATGTATTTTTTCTTTTCTTTTCTTCATCATGTTCCGACCTGAACATGTGTTATATTTTATCTGTTTACTTAATAAAGTTCTGAGGAAGAAATTAGGATTTCTGGTCAAAAAAGATGGATAACAATATATGTGCGCATATTTATAGAGGTAATAATATAGCAGTAATTTATCATAAATAGAACAAGCCGGTACCATAGTCAGACTGTTGTGACACAGTGACTAGTGGGCATTTTGAGATCAGTAACATGGTTATGTGTCCAGAAAAGTGTGGGAAAACTTGTGATAAATGGATTGCTTCACTTCTGTCCTTCAGGTGTCAACAAAGTTGTGGACAACATCTGTAGGCTTTCACCAGATTTGCTGGCTGAAGCAGTGAGTATATTTTATCTCTATTTGTATATATCCCCATGCAGGCCAAAAACAAGTTACATTTATTAAAAAAAAGGGAACTAGCCATACAGCATATAATAATAATAAATAATAATAATAATAATACAAAATATGTAAATGAGTGATAATATAAGTGCTTAGAAAAAAGCACTGCACAAGACACACATCATGTCGTTGGTTGTTATTTGACCTGTAGTTTTTGATTACCACAGACACATTATAAATGAATCATTTAAACAAACATGCCTCATCACACGTGATCTTATAAGATTTGCAACAGGATGAAGTTGTTGTGGTGCAAACCTCTGTCTCAGTGGGGTTAACTATTGGATGTTAAATACATTGTAATAGTGTTCATTGCAGGGCTATTAGCTGCCGTTCTCTGCACAAGTTACACAGGATGTGGTGGTGTTTCCATAGAGGCTATACAGTTGTTCTGATAACTAATCTTCTAATCTCCAGTGTCAGCATGTTCTGACTTATCTTCAAGGGCAGACTAGAGGAGTAGATTCGGCTGAAATTTCTGATGTGAGTCAATATTTCCTTTAGAATATTTTTTTTCACTTATAGTAACCCATCTTCCCAAGTTCCTCTTTCATTGCTTTGTGTTTTTTTTTTCTGCTCAGAGATTTCAGAAAGCTGGAGTCAGACTTGACCATGAAGCTGTACAGAACATTATCAGATTTCTCTTGTTAACATTCAGGTATCTTTGATATATATTATTTATTTTTTGCCTCTGAATGTGGTTTGTCGGAATAAGCCCATGCTTATTCCGTATGCTGCATGTTGATATGTTTGTTCAGTTTGATACATTTGTTTGTAAATATAGTAAATAAGTACATGCCCATAGCATTATAACTTCCTCACAACTGGCTTCAGTTGTGTAATGGAGCTTTAACAGCTTTTATCCTGGGTTATGGACCTGGCAAAAAGGCTAACTCATACATAAAGAAGCACATTGTTGTACTATAATGCGTGATTAATTAATATTTGTTTTACCAGGTCAGCTGGGAAGAACAACCTCTCTGGGGACGACCTTGTGTCGAGTCTGGAAGGCAGTAACAAGTGGCCTAAAGCTTCCCATCAGGTGTTCCACAGGTTGTGGAGTGAACATGGTGCATTAGTCCATGCTCAGCAGGAGGTCCAGGCTATGCTCAGCATCAGCCAGGTATGTCCAAATGGAATGTGTCATTTATATTCAATTTTTTAGATGACCCGAAGACAGAATTAGTCTATTTTCAAGGCAGATGAGACGTGTTTGTTGTTATGCTTTATCTGTCTAGTTAGTGGACATGCAGTGGAAGCTTGGGATGGCAGTGAGCTCCGACACCTGCCGATCACTCAGCTCCCCATATGTGTCTCTACTGCTGAAGATCGTTGAGCCCTCTGGACAGATTTACCAGCGGTCATTTGAGATGACCATTCCACAGTTCCAGGTCTTTATATGTGTTGAATGTATTGTTGTTGGTGAAATGTATTACTTGCTTGATTTTTGAGATAACTTTTTTTTGTCCTCTGCAGAACTTTCACAAGCAGTTCAAGGAGATGGCAGCAGTTATGGAGACTGTATGATGGTTGCAAGCACTCCTAAGTGTTTGTCGCAGTTTCACCCCCTGCTTACATGTAATCAGTGAAGGAACAGCTTGACATGTGTTTGTCTGCTGGCTGTTTCAGTTGTCTGCTTTGCACTTCAATTTTTCGTTCCACCTGCATGAAGGTTATAATGTTGTCGGTTTTTGGTGCTGTTTTGCATTATATAGAAAGGTGTTTGTGTTTAGCCAACACTCACCGATAGTGACAGGTCTTTCTATTATTGTGTCCACCCCATTCATAACACAATATAATTCAACAGCACCACAAAGTACAGCCTAAGACTGAACACTAACCTTTGTGAAGTAGGATTTATTGCAGGACTGCTGTATTAAGCCCACAACATAAAATCCTGTAGACTATATAGTTTCAGTAAGTGGCTAAATTTTCATATAAACTTTGCAGTACAGTTTTTAGTTTGAAAAGCTAAATGGTCCATGTGAACTTTTTACAGTCCTTGTGCTTTTTTGTTAATGTTAATAAATCATGAAGACTTTCTTTAGCAGTTTGTGTTTTTCCTGGTAATGCTGAAATGCAGTGTGTGAGTCTGAGTATGTCCTCAGTTGGATGCCATACAACAGTGATGCAATTAAAAACTAAAAGCAATCGTAAGCTAAATTGATTGAATCCTGTAAATTGGTGTCATTGTTTACCATCTAACTACTCTGTATATGTAGAATCCACAGAGAAATAAGTCTGACCTACTTTTGGGTATGTGCATGACTGGATATTTTAACCATAGATTTCATTAAATTCCATTTACACCCCAGTGCATTGTAGACAATCAACTCTAATTCAATGGCAATAGTTAAAAACATAAATGCAACCATATGATTTGTATAAATAAGGCTCTGGGGCCTTGTGTGAGTCAATTTGGTGGCCTGTCCTGCAATATAAGTCATCTACATCTACTAAAATATGTACACACACGGTCCTCACCAGTAGTGCAGGGGTTGGTTGGCTGCAGAGCTCTAATGGCCACTGCCTCAGTGAGGTTATATATGGCACAGCTACTATTTTTGGGATAGACGGAGTGCTTGGAATTATGGTATTTGGTCGATTGGCACTCCTCTTGTGCATACAGCATATCAGATGTGATTAAAGTTATCCAGGACTATGAATCAGCACTATGAATATGACTATCTCTTGCTTGTTTGTTAACTGGCTTGGTGAAGTATTGCATATACTTCATTGTGCTGCTAACTAAGCGGGCATGACTCGTGCTCGTTTTACCTGGTGAAGGCAGCAGGCATGTAGGATTACAACCAACAGAGTTAAGGGCCCGGAGGACTAGTGGCACGGGGGCTGCAAACACAGTTTTAATGCTCTGTCGAGAAAGGTGGAGCCTCGTCCTGTACACATAGGTCCTGTCACGTTCCTCACATAGGGTCCACACAGCGGCTCTGCCCTGCCCACTCCTCCAGCACATGGGAAGGTTGGGCGGGTCGTCGACGCGCACAGCCTGCTCCGCCTCCAAGGCGTTGTGGAAGAAAGGATCACATTCGGGAGACTGCATTACAAGGCGATAAACAAGCAGAAATGTATGTGTTAGATAGACCTCTGAGAAAGAAAAATGCGACCGCGCCAGCTCATACATAAGTAACAGGACATTAGGGCTTGGACTGTATTAATGAGCCGCCCCGGTATGCGCTCAGAAACAACGCACAGCGCGTCAAAGAAATCAGATTTCTCAGGGCGAGTTGTGTTTACACAGGAGCCATCCAAAGCCACGTTTTAGCAAGCTTGTTTGGGACAGTACAGTACGGGACTGTTCAGCGTTTGACTCACTGCCCATGTAAACAGTGGAGGAACCGTGCAGGGAAGCAAGCATGGCCATATAAGCGCATTTACTTGAAATCCTCGAAGCAAAACTGAATTTTTTTGAGAGATCTGGATAACATGGGAGTGTTGTAGCTGATCGACAGGGCGAACACATGTGCGTGTAAGCTAATCGCTTCGTTGGATGAACGTTCACTATGGATGTGGCCATGGAAGCTGTTGCAAACTAACCACAACTACGTTGGCATTGGTTGCAGGGGATGGTGAGTCGGCATCATTTTTTGAAAGCAATCTTTAGTCCCACATCGCTGTCAAAAAGCTTCGGCCGAAAGTTTGCTGGGTCGACATGGAGAGTCAGGATGAGAGGGAGCACAGTCCTCCGAAGTCAGACAGGAGGTTCGCCCTGACTTACGTCGGCTGGTCCTCGCTGGACAGGCGGACCACCCTGCCCATGCTGCCGTGGCTGGTGGCTGAGATCCGCAGGAGGACTGAGAAAGGCGACTGCGGCCCCGTGGCGCAGCCGAGAGAAGTTCAGCTGATCCTCAACACCCCTTTCGTCCGATGTGTCCCCTCCAACAGCAACAACTCTTCAGTCTTTATATTCGAGCACAAAGCACAGCTCATATCTCGCTTCATTCACAACAGTAATGACCTCACCTATTTTGCCTATCTCCTGCGGGGACAGCCTGACAACCCTGAGTCCGAGATGTCCTGTCACGTCTTTAAGGCCTGCGACCCCAACCAGGTAGGCCTGTCCAAGCGTCAAACACACCTTTACACATGGCACAATAGTTATACCAGGAACAAAAGAAAAGTATACCTAATAGCATTGTAAAGAACAATAGACTGAGAAAATGCAGGTCAAAAGGGGATTTGTAGTGTAATCACTCATACATATATATATTATTTATATGGATGTGTTGCTGTAGACACTTAAGACCTGAAGTGAGTTTTCAGTGACCTCAAAAGTCCATTTTAAACAATATCTCTGTAATGTTTTCATAATATTCCAAAAAGATTAAAATTTAAAATGACCATATGATGTCAGGATTTACAATGAGGCCCACATATTTAAATGTTTTGATGGACTGAAGCTTTAAGTGTAAACACAAGACAAAGGGATGTCCTACAAAGCCTGAATTGAAATCTCCTTGAGGTGACAACTATGTCATTCAAACTCAAACACACAGTAGATTAGTCAATGGTCCAAACATGTTTGCTTTGGTATTAAGTATTTAGGCCACCGGTGGGAACGATAAACAGAGCACCCTGGATTTTTGGCAAAGTTAATCCATCTCTGTGCTTTCCTCTTTAGGGGATCAGACATCTCTCTGGTGACCGTAGTGTGACAACAACTGAACAGGCACAATATCGAGTCAGCACATTTACATGCTGATCAGCATGCCACTCTTGAGTAATAAACCGAAATGTGGTAAACAGTCCAAAATCAGGAACGTGGGAGTCAGTGTTTGAAAATCAATGTGCAGTCATGTTTTTTGGTCTTCGCTGAAATGCAAAGATCATACATGGCACTGTGCTGACCAGCTCACCCCAGTGGCATTGATGTGTGTCCATGTGTTTGCTTGCGTGTGAGTTGTTGTAGAATAAGTGCTTGATACTTGTTTTTTTGTGTTTTATATATGAATCATGTGGATTGGGGTTTTGCCAACATTCTTCACCTGCTGTGAGACAAGCTGAAGTCTTACAATTGTCCATGTTTTTCTTGTTTCCCCAATGAACAATGGGCACTTCACAAATAATGTTCACAAATAGACATCCAGTCATGTTCATGTTCTGCATTGATATCAAGGATACCTGTGTAAGATCTTGTTTTCTGTGGCATGTGCAGGGTTGGGCAGACTTGTTTGGGGATCCAGATGTTTGCAGCAGTCACAAAAGTACCTTGAACACACCTTATTCAGCATTATTACGCAACAAAAACTGGTTTGGCAGCCAGCGAGCAAGCAACATGTGCAAGGTAGACTATGTGGAACAATGATGCTCATACGTCATTTTTTGCAACTCCAAGTCAAGTCTTAATCAGAATCAGTTTTATTGCCAGGTATGTGTACACATACAAGGAATTTGACTCAGGATTGTACATTGCTCACGATGTGCTTACTTATACAATAATACAATAACACAATAATAAAATAATAATAAAATAAAATCAGACACAAACTACAGAATAGACAACACTAATATACACACTATGAACAAAACAATGTAGACATTATTGACAAATAGTGCAGTGATCAGAGTGCAAAGGATGCAAGAGTAAACTAGATGGATATGATATACAGGTACACATACATGCATACATGTACACTGAGTTTAAGAGTTTAGTCACAAGTTTAAGTCAAGTCTTGTGTAGTTCTGATGTGCATGTCTGCTGCATGCCACCTGGTCTGCTTATAACACTGCATAGCTATATCTAAGGAAATCAAAGCATGTATTGTATTATCATCACTCCTTTATTAGCATCAAGCGGCAGTGTCCGGGTCTGAAAAGTGAAGCCAATTCGCAAGTGCCTTAAACATGCATTCTATCTAAAGGCCAGCACGGGATGACTCCAATGATTGCAAAAAGAAGTCAGATTGCATTAGAGTTAATAACAAAAATATCCTACTTCTAACTCTAACACTTTACTAATGAGTTTATAGTCTCAATCACTAGTTTCAGGTCTTCTTCAATACAGCATGATGTTTAATTAGTAAATTATGGTCCCATTTAGAGCAAAATAGAAAATAAAGCAGGGTATGCTTTAGGGAGTGGCTACCTTGTGATTGACTAGCCACTACCATGGTGACATTGCCAAATGCCAAACTTGTGGCTTCAAAATGGTAGTCGACAAACTAATGGGTGACGACATGGTGGCTATGTCCACTTCTTTTATAAGGTAACGTTTAATGGCTTGCCCACGCACATTCAGCTAACTTTCTAGTTCACCAAGACATAGTGTTGTTGTGATGTTGGCTGTAGAAGCAGGAGAGTTTCGCTATCTGGAGATGCTGTATATCGAGATGTATATCGTTATTGGGATATAATATTACCTATATCAGTATATGAAATCATATTGCACAACACTAGTGTATGATTAGCATACAGTTTCCGCATTGATTAGTTGTTTGGTGTTTGATCACTTTTAACACGCCGTTGCAATGCAATATGAAAAACATGAACAAACAGCTACAGTATAGACCAAGTATTGGGTAAAAATGTATATAGACTAACGTTACTCAGGGTTACAGGAAAATATTGCTTATTACATTATTAGGCATGCAATAATAACTAACTTTTTTTAAGCAACAAAGATAACTGTATTGTATAATTACACTGGGCCTCCAACCAAGGACAGCTTAAAATCTACTGTAAATTAACACAGTGTTTCCCATACGTTCATTTATTTGTGGTGGCCCGCCACAATATCAAGGCTGACCCCACACACTGATTTTCGATTTGTTTTTTTACTAAACCTATTTAAAATCGTATTTGATTACAGAGAGCCGTAGCACTTTCTCTCGCTCGTCCCTCTCTCGCCCTCTCTCCCTCATGGAACACCGCTGCACAAATCTGTCCAACACAACGCCGTCAACCCAGCTTAAAAAAAGTTATTAGCAAGCATGCAATGAGCCTAGCTAATAAGGAGAGCTAAGTTAATGTTAGAAAACACAGGGGTTTTCGAGGCTAGCATGCTGTAGGCTATATAGGTAGTAGTCATTA